ATAATAAGGAAAGGTTTCTTAGTCCTGTTCTCGGGTGAGCAAATACATGTTCTCCACAGAGTGAAGCGAGTGAACGTTGTCACCTAATACAGGAAGTGCGTTACTGGCAGGATCACAGGGGGAAAATAAAGGAAAACACTTGCAAAAGAAAATGAAAGACGAATGCAGCCTCCTCATCTAATATTGAGCTCCAGCTCCCTTCACGATCCCCATCACTGCGCCTGCGCGGTCACCCAAAAGCATGCCCACCTAATGGAAAAACATGTCATCTCTTAACATGCTGCGCCGTCAGATGGGTGCGCTGGTGCACTAACAGTATTTGGAGGACTTGAAACGGCTGTTCGATGACCGCGCAGGCGCACTGACAGGGGTTGGAGGACTTGATGGGGGATTGTGAAGCCGCGCAGGTGCAGTGACGGGAGTTTGATAACTCGATGAGAATTCTGAAAGCTGCACAGCTGGCGCGCACGCACCAGCGCCATCTGGTCTAAATCTCCTACTGGCAAGTCACAGGACATGATGTCACCAGTCGGAGATCTCGACGGGTCGCAGATTTTGACAGAACACCGGCACAAGGCCGGAGGTCAGAACTATTTTAAAGTTTAGGTTAAATGTTAAACCAAATCAAAAGGTCAACACCTGACTTTAGGTCCTCCTTCCCCCCAGGCTGCTGAATACCTGACTGGTAAAATCACCCGGAGGTAGGGTAGCTGGTCTCACACACAAGCTGCGCTCTGATGCAACAGCCAGAAATACTTTCCAAAAAAGAGGGGTGGACAGTTGTATTTCTGTCCATCCAGTCCTGAGATGTACACAGCACAGCCTTGTCCGGCAGGGCAGGATACCTTTGCTGCAGTTCAGTTACATTAACAGGTTTGTCTCTCTCTCCCCCCACCCCCCCCTCCCTCCCAGACAGTGAAAGGAGGAGCAGCACACTGATTAAATCATCTCGCTCTGCTCAAAAAAATACCAAAAGACAGGCAGACAGCAAAGCACCATCACCAGTATTACCAGTATGCTCAATGCAGCTGAAATGTTCCCCATTGCAGGCATACCATGCCTTATCCTGCGTTGTGACTCTGTGTGGAGGCGGCCATCTTGGTGGAGGCGGGGGATTTGCTTCCTCCTGTGCGAGCCTCCAGCAAGGAGAACCGTCGGCAGTGACATCATCAGAGACTAAGTGATGTAGATGATCTCACACTGCAGATATACAGCTATATGGCGGCGGGTCCAGGAGTGCCGAGGCACCTTCACACACCAGGAACATCGCCGCCATATTCCAGGAGGAATGTCACACAAAAGGTTTCTTTTCAGGTAAAAGACAATGAATATGTTATAAATATTCCCTGCGAGTTCAGGGAGGGCGAGCGAGCCGAATGCAGAGCTCCCCCTAGTGGTCAATCTACAAATCTCTATCTAAAAACACAAGCAAAAAAAAGAAAGAGCAAACCTATAAAAACGTGATCGTCACATTAAAAATAACAAAGTCCAAATGCCATTCGCACTGCCACGGTCTCAAAACCACAAGGTATATGTGGTGCCCAGGTGGCCACACGGATGGTGCCGTGCAAAACACTAAATAGTAAATAAAAGTAATTCACCGGCACACACTTGAAGGGTTTTTAAAGTATCGATATGTTTATTCAATACCCAATGTCACATACTGTCATACGGTGCTAACGTTTCGGGTCCGCACAGGGATCCTTCATCAGAGCGACAGTGACAGGTGACTCTCCATCCCTGAGGGTTTAACATGTCTCTTCTGAAAACACGACAGTCCCTTTCGCTTTGGTTCCTCTTTGGTTTGTTTTGCTTTCGCTGCCAAGGACGTATGTCATACGCCGCTGGCCCCTGTAAATGGACTCGCGGTGGCTCTGTTTACCTGGGTAAAGCCAACTGACGGCTGAAAAGTGACCAGATCGCTTCCAGGGGCCAGTGAAGTGTCGCCCCCCCCCCCCCCCCAGACTTTCTTGTGGGCAGT